GCAGCTGTGCACTCGCCGGCCGGCGCCGTGGGGGCCGGGGTCAATGCCATTAGCTTCCGCCTCAAGTGGGACGTGTGTGAAGGACAAAAGCGGAGCGTGGAGGGAAGTGGGCCGCCTTTCCCATCACCTTGAACTCCTCGCAGCTCCGTTTTCTTCTGTAGTGTGTGGTTTGAAATCCGGCAGCCATCGGCAAGGCGAGAGAGGCTGTGTCCGAGTTAAGCTGTGACCATTACCCCTGTCACTCTGAAAGGAAGAGAGGACAGCATTCCATTGTGAAATCTACACCCGAAGCTAACTGTTCAAAAAAAAAAATCATTTTTCCCTTATCGAAGTCGTCTCTGAATTTACCGAGGCGATTGGAATCACTGTTCAGGCCTCCACAGCAGGTTACTTCTGGTCTCGTGCCGTGGCCTGGTGAACCAGACCGCAGACCCCAGTGCCTGGTCTTGCCGTTGGCCAGACGGGGTTGGAGAAAGGCTGGCAGCCTAACTGCAGCTGCCTCCCGAGCCTCCCTTCTGGGGATCTGAGGTCCTCGCAGGTGAGTGGTGGGGCGCCTGTGAGCCAGTGACACCCAGAGCCTTCAGTCCTAAGAACTAGGGTACCTAGTTGATCTGGTGCCTTTGGGGACAATGAGCACCAGTCAGATGCAGAGGTCAGGGTTGAGAAAGAACTTTCACAGCCATTCGGAGCTTGTGTGGCCATTACTGTAATGCCCCCACAGGAGACAGAGGCAGAACCTGATTGCTCCTGATGTCACCTGACCTATATAAGTGGGGGTGTTGGGTTGTGACACAGCCCCTGGTCGCTGCTTCCCAGCTCTGTGCATGCTCATTCCCTTCCTCATGGACACTTCACGCCCGCAGATTTGTAGATGGTGAATGAGTCATTTGATGAAGATCCCTCCTCCTGTTTCTCCTCATTCTTTATTTTGATTATTTTGTATAAAAATATGTTGAGATCAGGGGCTAATGGTTGTGGAATTTTTGTGGTTCCTTCTGGTAGCAGAAATATATTGACAGATACCAAAACTTTGTACAAAATAGCAAGACTTAAGTAAGAAAAATCATGTAAGAAAGAAGGGGCCTACTTTGGGTGGTATCATTTGAGCGCTAGCATTAAACAAAGATTGGAAACTATTACATTAATTATGCACATATTCTCCCTAAGGGTGCTGCAAGGTCTCAGGAATCCACAGAGTTTAACACCCAAGCACCTGTGGTAGGAAAATGGTTTTCTTTTAAATATATTTTTTCCCATTTTCATTTCATCCAACCTCTTCATGAAGTCATCAGTGAAAATTGCTGTATTTCTGTTCTTCCCTCGCGTGTTACAGACCACTCTCAGTGCCGAATGTAAGTAGGCGAGCGAGTGAGGTGTGAGAGACGACACGGGGCAAACAAGACAAGGTATGCCCTTGTGCAAGTGGGTAGCCTTCACTGGGACTCCGCTTCCTCGTCCTGTGGAGCCCTTTGTTACAAGCTCTGGAATTGTATCTCACTTGATAAACTGCAAGTCTGTGTTTATTCATACATTAGGGGTAGGGTTTTATTTAGCATCGTGTGTGTGTGTGTGTGTGTGTGTGTGTGTGTGTGTGTGTGAGAGAGAGAGAGAGAGAGAGATTTGCTTCAAATCTGTGAATTTCTAGCCTAAGATCAGAACTAAAAGGTCTTTACAAGTACTTTATAAGTAGTTTATTTTCTAGACCCAAGGTATTCTGCAAATACCGTCTGGAGCAACGTGGGAAGTAACAGCTTTCTCAAGACAGGCTTAGATTCTAAACCAGTAAGTTGTTTTCTTTCTCTAGTAGCAGGGCTGAGTCCTCTGAAAAGAGGCCACCCTTCAGAAGTATGGCCAGAAAACGGAGTACAAGTCATCAAATACAAGGCCTACCAATCCACACCGTGTTTTAGAGTTCAAATCACCTATATTTAAAGGTGAATTTACAAAACTCTCATGAGGTATGCACACTGTCAAATATGGGATCCCTGCCTTGGTAAGCCAGCAGCTCTACGAGCTTGTCACATTTGATGATGCTTTCAGAAAGACTATTTGGCCACAGAGAGCATCACTGAGTCCTGTACACCTCGATCCATGTTTAAGTAGATACCTTTCTGCCTCTGGTTAATTTTTCTGGTAGTGATATCAAACATTTTATTTATACATTAGGGGGAGGGTTTTTTTTATCATCGTGTGTGTGTGTGTGTGTGTGTGTGTGTGTGTGTGTGTGTGAGAGAGAGAGAGAGAGAGAGAGATTTGCTTCAAATCTGTGAATTTCTAGCCTAAGATCAGAACTAAAAGGTCTTTACAAGTACTTTATAAGTAGTTTATTTTCTAGACCCAAGGTATTCTGCAAATACCGTCTGGAGCAACGTGGGAAGTAACAGCTTTCTCAAGACAGGCTTAGATTCTAAACCAGTAAGTTGTTTTCTTTCTCTAGTAGCAGGGCTGAGTCCTCTGAAAAGAGGCCACCCTTCAGAAGTATGGCCAGAAAACGGAGTACAAGTCATCAAATACAAGGCCTACCAATCCACACCGTGTTTTAGAGTTCAAATCACCTATATTTAAAGGTGAATTTACAAAACTCTCATGAGGTATGCACACTGTCAAATATGGGATCCCTGCCTTGGTAAGCCAGCAGCTCTACGAGCTTGTCACATTTGATGATGCTTTCAGAAAGACTATTTGGCCACAGAGAGCATCACTGAGTCCTGTACACCTCGATCCATGTTTAAGTAGATACCTTTCTGCCTCTGGTTAATTTTTCTGGTAGTGATATCAAACATCATTAAGTTTTCTAAACAGTACTACCTGGCTCATGATTCTCTATCTCGAGCCTATTGTCTGCCTCCACCAGCTGCCAGCGCCTCTCCTGGTCTTTTCCAGCCACACTGAGGCTCACTGCACCTCTGCTCAGCGCACCTGGGCACAGCCACCCTCAGGAAAATGTTATTAAGGTGCTATTAGCATGCAGCAAGGTGCCCTTCGGACTGCTCAGTTTATAACGTAATCCTCACAAGTGCACACATTCTTTGTGATGACAGCCGGGCTTCGTGTTTCTGGTGCAACACTAATAAGACTTGGAAGGAAAGAGGTAAATTAGATGGCCCAGCAAATTAGGAATTCAGGTAGCTGATGAAAGAGAGGAGAAATGAATCAAAGGGACAAAGAGCAGCAGAAGAAAAGGTATCCTTTGGTAGGAAAAAGGTGGCAAATAGAATATGTGAGGGATCAGGTAGGACTAAGAAAGAAAACATGAGCCATTTATGTGTGCACTTCGTGTGTGGAAAGGGGATGCACAACAGTAGGCCTGGAGAAAGACGTACCAGCTGAAAACAAAAGGTGGTAAAAAATAATTGTGTTTTCTATGCTGGGTAAAATATGCCAGCCATAGAACAACACATGCCTCATGGTCTCATGTATATGTGGAATTCGAAAAGTTGGACTTAGGGAAGCAGAACCAGAGGGGTGGGTTCTAGAGCCGGCAGCGGGGAGAGACAGGGAATGGGAGCTATTGATCAAAGGGCACAGAGTTTCAGATAGACTGGAGGAATTGGTTTTGAGATTTATGGCACAGCAGAGTGACTACAGTCAACAATAATGTATATTTCAAAATAACTGAGGGAGTATATTTCAGATAGCTCACCATAAAAATGATAGGTAAGCGAGGTGATGGATATGTTAATTCATTTGATTCCGTCACCTCGCATTGTATGTCTGTGTGTATATGTATGTCAAAACATCACACTGTACCCTGTGAATGTATACAGTTATGATTTGTCAATCAAAAATATATTAATAATTTAAAAATTAAAAGAAAGAGGAATTGCATTCAGGTAGAAAGAAAGACTGAATATTTTAGGATTGAGAAAACACTGGAAGGGGGACCAGCAGTTAGCGTAATGGCTATGTCGCTGAACTCCCATATAGCCGACTGTGGTTCGAGTCCCAGACCCGGTGGCTTAAACTCACGCCAGACACATGTGCGTGTGTGCCCAAGATCCCGAGAGGAGAATGGAGGAGAAGGGATTGCGGCGTGGCCATCCCCCGGGGGGTGATTTCTCACTTTCTGTCTCTCTGTCTCTCTCTGTGTCTTTCTGGCAAGTGCACGCGCCCTGGGGCAAAAACCTCTCCAAAAAATGAAAAAAAATAAAAAAGAAAACACTAGAAGGAAATCACACAAACAAAAGCCATCTGAGAAGTGCTTTCAGTACACATCCATGTACTGAAAGGTTCTAGGACCCTTTGCTGGACTTCTGTGCTGTTTTAGTGACTCATACAATTTTTTAAAAATGCATTTCCTAATTTGCAAAGTCAAGCTTATAACCCTTACCCTGCTTGTTCACACTATGGGCTGTTGTGAAGATCAAGGAGGATTATGGGTGTACAGAGGATTGTCATCCTGAACATGCTCTATAATTGTAAGGCTTTAGCAGAATTGGGGCTGCGGGAGCAAATGACAACCAACTTCCCAGTCCTTGCCAAACTGCATCTCCTCACTGATAAAAGATCTAACCTTTATTCTTTTCAATTTTCTAATTCGCTGAGGTTTTTATGTTGTTCTAAGGAACTGAGATGCTTTGATGGCAGAGATGAAGTTGAAGGTTGCCAATAGAGGAATATTGAATTGATCTCTTCATCATCACTCACCTTGCCGAGGTGGCCCCTGCTTTTCCCAGCCCCACGGCTTCACAGTATGGATGCTCACTGAGGGATGGCAGTTGAGTGGGAGTTTGTAAATTTCTTCCATTACTGTCCCTTTCTTTGAGGGTGGAGACAGGCCTGTTTCTGTAACTTTCCTGGCTAGCTCACTTTTCTGCAGATGGCAACATGCCCTTTGAAATTAGAGTTGAG